TATAAGGTCTTTATATTTATAAATGTACTTACTCCTTAAACATGCTATGTGAGATAGACATTATTAATATCTCTCTTATTACAGATGAGGAAAATGAGGTACAAAAAGTTATGTAGCTTGTGTAAAGTCACAACCTGGTAAGCAGTGCAGTGAAAGGTGAGAAGAGCAAAATTAAACCTATAACCTAGACTTTTAATTTTAACAACTCCGTTTTAATAATGATCTAGGCAACCCTGTGCTGAACATAAATTCTGACACATTGCAGATGCTTAACTGTTTGACTAGAAGTAAGTGAAATATTTTGTTATATTGGTACTTATCATTGCCATGTCTAACTTAGCCCATAAAAAGAGGAATGTGGTAAGAGCAATCAAGATACCAATAAAGCTTTCAAAGTTTAAAAAACCTACATAACTGAAGTGCCACAAGAGGAAGGGGAAGCTAACTGTAATATTTTAATGGTGACTACTACACAGACTTAAGGTTATGTGGGATTCTACGTGTTTTAGAAAAAGTACTACAGTGGGGTGCCTGCACAACGGGACCTGGGTAAGTAATGTCACATCTATGAATCCAACCCCAATAGCACAGGTGTCTGTGGCCTTTCTCCCTTCTAATCTGCCCTGCTTGACCCTGAGCTAGACAAAAAACTCCAGCTTTCCAAACTCCCAATCTGGTCTCCTCCATGCCATCACCTCCATCTGGAGGGTAACCCATCACCTCCATCTGGAGGGTAACTTTAGCCAACGGTGGGCTTGAGGCTCTATTCAGAATCACTCGCACCCAGAAATATGAAAGGCTGCAGAGCGCGGCCCTTCACTAGAAATAGTTTTCTGCGGTCCTTAGGGATGCCCAGGCCCCACCCAGGCTGGGGCTAAAGTGAGCCTCTTACTAGCAGGATGGTTGGATACTCCCCTTTGGTGGACCCAGGCCAAACTGCATTGCCCGTAACCAGGGCGCGGATCATCGCATGGCTCTGGGGCCCACTCCCTCCCAGCCCGTCCTGTACCTCCCGGAGCGCCAGCAGCTCCCGCCCTCTCCCTCCCCGATAACCCTTAGCAGTCACGGGGCCGCTGCCGGGCCAGTGCCAGCTCGCCAAGTTAGAGGGTGGCAGCCCCACTAGAGCGCCTCAAATGTCCAGGACTGCAGGACCAGCCTGGCATGTGCGGCCGGCGCATGCCAGCCAATGGCAGGCCGGGCTCTACCCGGGCTGCTGATTGGCTCCCAGATCCCGCAGGATCGCAACTGCGCACAACGCGCAATTTTTAGTTGTTTAAATCCTTGGCGCTGCTGTGCAGCTGCTGACTGAATTGAAGTCTAACAAGGCCAAGATCTTTCGAGCATAACATTCTCAAGCCCGGCTTTTTTGTTTGCTTAACTTTTACCTAACCAAAGAGTTAAATTATCTATGTATATTCACAGTGTGTACCAATTCTGGCTTTAAGTAGGAGCTCAACGTTTTATGAACGGCCCATTAGCATTTGATTGCAGGAATCAAATCACGTTAACAAAGGAATAAAGCAAGTGCTTACTGTGGCAAGGCACTGTGTCAAACAACTTGGAATGACTAGCACTAAACCGCAGCTCCAATTTTCTATGAGTTACAATTCAGCTGGGGTGAGACTTAGATGCATTATAAGTTAAATCATTATAAATGAGCTACATGAAGAAATGCATTAATACAAGAACTGACAGCAGGGCTGCAAGCTGCTAATTGCCAAAAGAGAGGAACAGAGTATGTATAGAAAAAGAGAGAATGAGTTCTGAAGGAGCAAGGAATGGAGATTGGGTGTTTAAAAGTGGGTACTAAAACCAGAAAGCTGAGGAAGTCTTAAGATGTATTTAGGAAAACGTGAGATGGAGAAGTAGCTAACCTTTGGTTACATGATGATGTCAGTGAGGGGTGAGTAAAGCTGTGACAGAGAAATGGGAATATGAAAAAAAACTTTTTAACTGTGCAACACTCAAGGTAATTGGGAACATTATAGTAAAAATATTGTGTATTGGGTAAGTAGGAGGTTTACCATATTCTTATTCTCTTTAGAGTGCTGTCCAATACACCTTTCTGACAAGATGGAACTGGTCTGTGTAGGTAGTCTACACCCTGCAAGTAGCTTTGAGCACTTCCAGTGTGGCTAATGTGACTCTAATTGATTTTTTATTATTTTAATTGTAGTTAATTTTAATGTAATTAATTTTTTTATAATTTAAGTAGCTACAATTACCAGATGGTTGAGTGAAATTATTCTACGTGGTACCTATGACTTCTGTCCTCTCATATAAAAGGATAGGTCATCAAATTGAATCAGAAAGACCAGGTCTACTGGGGGAAAAAAATCAGGCTTAAATATTATTCTCAAACTCAAAGATTTACAAACTCAAGAAAAAGAAGGAGACTACCATTTCTTGAGGCCTACCACATGCCAGGCTAGGGGCTTACATACATTACCAATAGCTAATAACCTTACAGCAGGGAAAAACAGAGACTCTTCTGGACCATATTCATACAGAACAATCTAAAAGTTAATAACTGACCACCAATAAATAACACAGGTAAAATCTATAAAAATTTGCAAATAAGGCAAAACATAAATTAAACATGATGTATAAAGACATATTAATCATCAGTAAACTTCACTGTACCTAATTCATAGTCTGAGAAATTTTGGAAAACAATGACAAGAATTTACTATTTTTTCCTTGCATTTCAAAAATAAGCTATAATATCATCTCTTGTTTTTTTTCTAATTTTGTTATCATTAATCTACAATTACATGAAGAACATTATGTTTACTAGGCTCCCCCCTTCACCAAGTCCTCCCCATCATCTCTTGTTTTTTAAAAAGAAATTTGGAAGTACTTTGGAAAATAAAACTTTCAAGGGAAAGATGAATTTAATGTGGCATAAATATATGTTTAACATTCAATAGCTGTGTCTTATAGGCTACATGTTTTAAAGCCTTGAAAAAATTTAATCTACAAATGCCCAGCACATCTTTTCTCTAGTATAAGACCAATTAGTAATCATCCTTCCAAAGCTCAGAAATTTTCAACTGTTTTGGTTACATGTGTTTCATGTTCAAATATAATTTTATATGATTTGAAACATGACAAATCTGTCATTATTGAGTAAGGAAAATGTTCTACAGTTGATTGTGCTAATGGTTATACAACTCTGAACATACAAAAAAATCACTTAATTGAAAACTTTAGATGGGTGAATTGTATGATATATGAGTTTTATCTCAATCTGTTTAAAACTAATAGATCAGTCAAAAAGAAAAATATATTTACTATATCTTGGTAATGTGTAAATAAATTATTTTCCATGAATATGTGGCATTTCACATGATTGAATGGTCAAGAAATTTTGCTTTACCAGCATCTTCCCAATATTTCTGTTCCTGATTTGTTTTATGAAATCTTTTATCCCTTACTTTAAAAAAAAGTTTAACTACTCTATCAGCCTAAAATTTTCAGGATACCGATTAATAATCTCATTTCTCAAAAAAACAGAAATTGCCTAGTCTGTGCAGTTTAAGAAAATTATATGTATTCCACTAGATGGCACTAGTGTGCTAGACTCTATACTGTCTCACATCGATAAAATTATTACATTTCCACATTGTTTTCATTCATTTGACTGATCTGGGTTTAAGTTAAAGAGAAAAGGAAAGTTAAGAGAAAATACTTCCTTGATTGCTAAGTTCCAGAGTAAACAGAACTTTCATTTTACACATGAGGAATGTAATGCATGTAGAAATTGTCATGATCTGCTAAAGCCAAACTGAGAACTTAGAATCCCTGACTGTTAAATTGCCACTGTATACCTGTTATCTCTTTTGATCCCTAAACTGTTAGCTCCACATATATTATCTCATATAAATCCTAACTATACAAGCCTAATCTATTAACTTCATAAGGGAAGGAGAGTGATCATTTTGTTTAATACTATGTCACATGAGCACAGCACAGTGCCTAAAACATAGCAGTCAAAAGCATTTGTGCTTAAATGAATGGATGAATTAGTTAATTAACCTTGACAACTACTCCATTTGGTAAGTGAAGTTGGATATACAAAGTAACTTTTCCAAGCTCACACAATTCAGTGGCAAAACCATTTAACACAGTATAACATTACTTTGCATCATGTATTTCCATGTTGTCTTCCACAACAGAAAGAAAACTCTCGGACAGGGGTCCTTTCTTTCCTTGTCCTCATTGTACGTTCAACTCCTTGCATAGAGCGTGGCACACAATAAATAGTATTTATCTGTTTGACTTCATAGCCATCTGAGTCTTAACAGTCTGGATTTGAACAAAGAGTTCTGCTCCTGGACCACTTTCTGGTTTATTCTTGTCAGTTTATTCCAGTGCCGCTGCTAAATCCAGGCCTTGTTTCTGGATTTCTCTAGTTTTCTGCTAACCTCTCCTTAAGGCCCATTAACCAGATGTCTTAGAAGTTAGTGCATATTCCACTTTGTTTGCGCCTTACAATTTCTCCTAGTTCCACAGCTGAGGAGTCCACCCTTTTACCCTTTAAACCCCCATGGGTGCTTCTGGGGAAGCTGCGACAGAGCTGGTTCTGGTCTGGGATCTGTTATTTGTATCTCCATTACCTCTGGCTGTCTCATGGGCCTCAATTTCCTCATCTCAACTTTCTCAATGAATGAAGCTGGAATTGGATGATCCCAAAGACTCCTTTCAGCTCTAAGACTGTACAGTTTTAACACTGTGCTATAGTGGTCTTCTTTTGAGCGTATAACCAAGATGGCAAGTTTAGAGGTCGAATTCTTGGGCTCTGTGGGCTGAGTAAAGCCAGGAGCGGGAAAACCTGTGCACCAGACCGGACCATTCCAGCCTGACGTCTGGGGCTCCGTTCCCCAAAGTGGGACGCCTGAACCGAAGAGGCTCCCCCGGGCCGCCTGGAGGCGCTGCAGGCCGCGTCCCGGAAATCAGCTCACAGAGAGGCGAGACCGCGCCCCGCCCGGGACTCCTTCGTCGTCCGGAAGCGGAGCACCTGACCTGCAACGGCTGGTGTGCGACGGGGCGGTTCGCTGGGACCGCGGAAGCGAGAACAGAAAGGGTCCGGGGCCTGCCTCCCGCTCTGGGGTGAAGCACCATGGACGAAGCCGGCAGCTGTGCGGGCGCCGGAGGCTTCCGCCCAGGTGTAGACAGCCTGGACGAGCCGCCCAATAGCCGCATCTTCCTGGTGATCAGCAAGTACACTCCCGAGTCGGTGCTAAGGGAGCGCTTCTCGCCTTTCGGCGAGATCCAAGACATCTGGGTGGTGCGGGACAAGCACACTAAGGAGTCCAAGGGCATCGCCTTCGTCAAGTTTGCTCGCAGCTCTCAGGCTTGTAGGGCCATGGAGGAGATGCACGGCCAGTGCCTCAGCCCCAACGACACCAAGCCCATCAAGGTGCGGGTGCCCGGGTCCGGTGCTCGCGGGGGCTGTGTCGTGGGGAGATGGGTCTCACCGGCCTCCTTCACCCGAAACTGTCAGGATGTGGTAGGGATACTGCATCCGCTGCCAGGGGCGGCCCTGGCAGCAGCTGGCATTCCGGGGGCGGTGAGAGGGAACGATAGCCTTGGGGAGAGGTGCTTCAAGATCCTCCGCGGGCAAGGCCGAATCGGGGCATACGGGGAATATACCCGCCCCTGGGGCAGCGCAGGCAGCTGCGGCCACTCGGGTTGCCGCGCTGCAGTGGCCCGGGGTCCAGCTTCCGCCGTCACTAATCCGGAGCTCCGCGTTCCAAGGCCCATCTCTCGCCCCTCGCCTGCTTTGAGGACTTTTCTGATCCGCCTCTCTCAGACTCCCCGGTTTGCCATGCATAAAAACATAGTAATTCTGCTTTTTCTCAGGTTGTGGGGTTCAACAACTTGATAAAGAGTACAATAAGCTGTAGCCCTTTGCTGTTGGGCCTTTTCCTAGCACTAGACGAAGGCATGTATGGATGTAATAATTAAGTGCAGGTGATTAAAACTTCTGCTATTGCATATTTGTCGCACATTATTTAAATATTTAAAATACTCCTCTTTGTGAAGGTATTACTAACATACATTTTGTTACTGCCTCTTTTCTTTGAAAGAAGACAAAAGCAAACTGCCTTAAGAGCCAAATTGTAATGGTAGTTGTATTAGTATTAAACGCCTCTCTGTATGCTCTTCGTTCACCCTGGTGGTATTTATATTAAGTTCCTACACTTGTCTGGAAATTAAGATAACACATGGCAGGAAGGGTCATTTTTTCAGAGTTATTTGACTTAATCTTTGGTTTTAGCACAGCATCTGGCACAAAGGTAAGACCTCAGTATATCCTTGTTATTTGTCAGTAATAGTCAAGATGTCATTCCTTACTTGCTGTGAACTCAGTGCAGGACATTACCAAGAACCTGACAGTTGCTTAAATTGTGCCTTTCATCCGTGGAAATAGTTGGAGCCATCCACAAAATTCTGTTTTCCCTCAACTTTCTTTTTTTTTGCATATACTATGGAAAACTGAGGAGAATATTATTAATTATGGACTATATAATAAAGACTCAGGTATTTCAGTCTGGAGGTCTTCCCCGTATCTCTTTCCACCTCCCCAGCCCTCTGAAAAAGGTCAGAACAGATCATCAATAAAATTAATTATAAGCATATCCTAGATCAGGACTTGGCAAACTTTCTGTAAAGGGCCACATGATAAATATTTAGACTTTGTGAACCACATAAAGTCTCTGTCACATATTCTTTGTTTTTAACAACCCCTTAAAAATGTAAAAACAATTCTTAAATTATGCTTTGTATAACAGGAAGCTGTAGTCTTCTGACTACACTAGATTGCTAATTTTCATCTTCTAAATATGATCTTTGTGGAGAGTTTTTATACTTTGAGTATAATATAACCACAGAGCTCTTGTCTGCAACTCAAAAACAGTACCCCAAATTTGAAACATATAGAACCCCTTCTCCTGGATCAAATTCTTAACAAGAAAAGAAAAAGTCCCAACACTGAAATGTACCCTTCCTTTTTAGCCACAAAGAAATTAAGTTATTCCCAAAGATAATTAAAGTTTATATGCTATTTTTAGCTAGAGGGTTGTTGCACTGCAGTGCCTAGCTAAGACAGTCTTAACTTCATTCTTTCAGCAGCTTCAGCTTGGGCTGTCTTCCACTGGAATGTAGGTTTTTGGGGGGGGGGGTTTCATTATTTCCAATTAAATTAATTCAGCTTCAATTTTTCTCATGTACTTTGCTTTTGCAAAGTTCCAAAGGATCTACAAGACGTATAAGAAAATTATAGCACTAGTCTTACAGCCAGAAAAGATTGTCCAAGTAAGAGTTATTCTGTGACTAGCTGCATTATCTGGGGAAAAGGGGTAAACCTAGAAAATAGAGAAAAATTTGGTTTTTAGCTTTGCAAGAATGCTTATTTTGATCCCATAGTCTGAACATAAAATCTCAGAAGAAATCATCCATTAGGTGCTTAGTTTTTATACATGTGTTCTTCTTAGACACTTTCTCCCTTTTCAGAAATTTGAAATGCTTCAGTCTTCTGAAATTTAGAAATTGGTTATCTGATGGCTCCTCCAATCTCAACTCTTACTTGAGGCTCTTTTTTTCCCCCTGGTGTCTTCCCATATGCATAAAGGTTCCCTACTTATATTTCCCTGTTGGCCATTCATTACTGATAAATTCACTAAACTAACTTTCTAGGGGACTATTTCTTCTGTGTTACTCAATACCCTATCACTAATACCTCATACAGTACCTGGCATATGTGTAAGTTTATTGAAAGAATAATAGAAGTAGATAGACTGTGTAGGGATGTCTCCAGCCATACCTTATAAGCAGGGTCCTCCACCTCCATGACAGCTGTTTTCCAAGCGAACATAATGACTTTCTTTTTCAATACTTCTAAAATCCGATGGCTTTCTAAGTTCTGTGTCATTTTAGTTGCTGCCTCCCACTCTGCAGTTACATAGGTTCAAATTTTCTCTTACTTGAATGGTATATAGCCCCCCCTTTAAAGAAGAAAGGTCCTCAAGGACCCTGTATTTTTGTATTAAATGTGTTACATTTCTTCCAAGTTGTAAGAACTAAAAGTAGCCATTAAAATTCATATGCTTGTAGCTCTATAAACAAATCCACAATCCTAATTAAAGATTTTAACATTCCTCTGGTATAATGTAAAACCAAAATTATTTTACAGATTAAATAAAAACAATACTACAAAGCATATTAAAATTCCAAGCAATGATCCAGAGTCACAGATGATATTTCAATAAAACTAAATTGCTAGTAGTAGAAAGTAGAGCCTCATGTTGTCCTGTGCATTTTCTTTCTCATGGAAATCATTTGGATGATCACGGAGATGATTCAGGATACAGTTATATTACTTTTTCTTAAAGGTTGATGTTAGAAAGAAAATAATTGAAAATATGACCATCTAGATTTAAACCCAACTATATTGATAATTACATTAAGCAAAAAACTAAACAAGCCAGTTAAATGACAAATATTATCAAGATTAAAAAATGAAAAAGGACTAAATGCTGTTTACAAGAGACACAGTTTAAGTATAAAGATTCAAAGTGGTTGAAAGTAAAAGGATAGAAAAAGCCGGTATGGTATCAGACAAAATGGTCTTCAATACACAGAGTATCAACAGAGATAGGGGTACTTTTGTAAGTATAAAAATGTCAGTAAAAAAATACATAACAATGTGCAGCCAGTAATAGAGCCTCAACATATGTGACGCATTACTGATGGAACTAAAAGGAGAAAGATAAATCCACAGATTTTTATACTACTCTCTTAGTATCAGGTAGGACAAGTAGACAGAATCAGTAAAGATGTATAACATTTTGTTAACATTATTAGTCAACTATACATGAACACTAGCCAGCAACTGCAGAGTACATATTCTTTTTCAGTGCACTGATTATTGCTCTTCAGAAACAAAAACACAAAAGTAAAAACAACACAAATTGGTATTGCAATAAAAATTAATTTAAAAAGGCATTGCAATAAAAATTGCTTTAAAAAAACTTTTTAATAAGACCCTATTGCATTGCATTTAACCCAACAGGAATCTCATACTAATAATGAAATAAGTATACTTAAGAAATAAGGAAACAGTTAACTGATTTTTCCACATTGTTTTGGGGATTTTGTTTGTTTCTTAGGTTTTCATTGCTCAGTCCCGATCATCTGGAAGTCACCGTGATGTTGAAGATGAAGAACTTACAAGGATATTTGTTATGATACCAAAGTCCTACACGGAAGAAGATCTACGGGACAAATTTAAGGTACTTAAGTTTTCTAATCAGCTAGCATCTGTAATAATTTATTGTCCAAAATTGTATGGTTAATAAATCTTAAGTGTTGTTTATGTTAGATCATTAGCTTAGTGGGGGAGAACTAAATAACTATGTTTAAGTCATCTATTTCAATCTAGTTTTTAAATGTTAAACCTAGAATAAATTAACTTTTTAAACAATATGGAACCTTAATAGAAATATATATATATATATAAACTAGAAAATATTAATGATGATGTCCCTCATCTGCATACCCATATAATAATAAAGATACAGATTTAGAAAAATAAAATATGAAACTCTATAGAGTTTTAAATATGGTCACATACCTAGTAGCTGGTGGAGTCAAGATTTAAACCTAGGCTGTCTGAATCCAGAGCTGCTCCTGGTGTTTAAAATTTCAAAGCATTGTCTTATACACGCCTCTTTATTGCTTCTCTATATTGCTTACTGATGTAGAAGTAAGTCAGGCAGGCCTAGGTGTGTGAACTCCATTACCTAGTACTTACTGCAAGCTTATGCATGTCAGTGTTGTGCTTATTCACAGAAAGCCTTATCCTTTATAGTTTTTGTCTGAAGGGGTTACATTTAAAGAAAAAATCTAACTACAGCTCTAAACTATATCAAGATTATAGTCAGTGAAATTTGAAAACAATTTTAAGTCTATTAGCTGTTGACTTTTATATGCAGTGATACACTTTCACAAAAATTATTAAAAAGCAATTATTGTTTCTATTTGTAATTTTTTATCCTTTTTCTACTAATCTTCCCAGTACAAGCAAGAAAGAAGAGAAACAATTAGTAAAAAGTAATTTTCAAACTTCCTCTGTTCTACCCCAATTGAGAGTTGAATAAAAGAATTCAGAAATAGCAAATACCAAAAATACACATTCCATATGTCTTCCAGTAGTAAGAAAGATGTTTTTACCTTATATATTTGTAAATTTTTCTCTGAGTGAACAAATGTGACATATTTACCTAAATGTATACTAATTAAGTTGCTAATTGCTCACATGAGAATTTTATAAGATAAATAAATACTAAGAATTTGTATACCATCAGTTTATTTACTGCATAGTTCTCGCATACTGAATTACCTTTCTGAGTGAACTGCTATGTTTTAGAGATGTACTTTGAGAGGCTCTCCTTCAAAACAATACACAGTCATTTATGCTCCTGTTAGAAGGCAGACAAGTTATTATAGCTAGTGTTTACTGAGACTTTAGTATGCTCCAGACCCTAATAAGCACTTTAGGTATACATCAGTTCATGTAACCCTTAAAACAACCCAATGAGGATAGGTATAGCTATTAGCCCCATTTAACAGATAAGGAGATAAACATGAAGAGGTTAACTAAGCTGTCCAGTTAATAAGGGTTCAATTCCAGAACCTCTGCTCTTAACCACCACTGAGCAAAACTTTGGAGCTTTCCAGACCATGTACAAATTCCTTGTCTCCCTCATGACTTAGGCAAGTTATTTGATTTCTCTAAGGTCCTTGTCTGAAATAAGCAGGATTTTATAGTAAAGGATTGTTGTTAAGAGCAGGATAACATACATGAAGCAAATGCTCAGTAAATAAAAGTTATCATTATTTTGGTAATGTTATTTGGTTTTATCCTAATGGTTATTTTGCTAGTGTCTCATTAGTTTGTGAACTTTGATTGCATTATTAAAAATGACTAAATTCTGATTTCTTTTTTGCAAGCAAGAAGCACAAGTAAATTTTAAGTTAGTCCTGAAATAATCTGTTCAGTTTATTAATTTGACCATGTCTTTTAAATCTCACAGGTGTATGGAGACATCGAGTATTGCAGCATTATTAAGAATAAAGTAACTGGAGAAAGTAAAGGTTTGGGCTATGTTCGATACTTAAAACCGTCACAAGCTGCCCAAGCAATAGAAAACTGTGATCGAAGTAAGGATGTGTTCATTTAATGTTGTTAAAGAGTTTTTAAAAAATTCTTGCTATTCTAAATAACTGAATCTAATACTGATTTTTTGCTAATAACCATTCCTATTAATATAATCCTAGTAATGGAAGTTCAAATATATATATATAGTCCTAGGACAAAAATTATTTAGGGCTGTGATTAAGCTTTCATTGAGGCACAATCCTGATGAGAAATATGAGCACCTGCATTAACTTAGTAGATGAAAATGCTGTTGCCATACCTTGATTATTGTTTCTATTGGTTTTTTAAAAACTGTTTTAAAATTTTAAGTGTTGAAAAATTGATCTACCCTTTCAGATTTTTAAAAAATATTCTTTGTATTTAAAAAGCTCGAGTTTTCTGTAATATTTGTTTACATTGAACCTAAACCCTAATTTAGAATTAAGTGTAGTATTAAGCATAGTAATAAAATATAGATTAAGGATAGAATTTATAAGGTTTGCTAAGAGAAGGAAGTAAATATACATTGGGTTAATTTCAAGCTAGAATGACATTAATTGTATCTGTTGTTGCAAGTGTACATAAGCAATATATAGAAGAATAAGAATTTTTAAAAAGCCAAGGAAAATATTCATTGTTGTCATACTTCTAGTTATACTGACCTATAGAAATGAGAAATAATTAAATTAGTTTCAGGTTATTATAGGAATCTATACATACTGGAAAGAATTATTGTAAATGAGCAGAATTCTTAGGGAACCCCAAGGTACGCACCAAAATTCTCTTAGATCTTTCTGAATTTCTCAGTCAGCCAGCATTTAGTACCAATGGCATGTTCACCAATATGTTGAGTAGACAGATAGAAACGGAATATGCAGCAGCTCCAGCACTTAAGGAATTTATGACTGTATTAGGTAGCCAAAATCTAATAGGTGAAAAATAGTTAAAGGATAATTAAAGAATTTTTTTAAAGGCTCTTTGAAAGCAAGCAATATATCTTATTTTTCTGTTTTGGTCACTTCTAACTACCAAGTACAGTAATAGGCTGTCAAGAAAGATTTATTGAGATCTCTCTCAAAGATACAGCCATTTTTATAATAGATTCAATGAAAATTTGCCAAATGAGAAAATGTTAAAAGATGTATATTGCCCATCAGTGGAGAAAGACAAACGCACTGAACGAGCATGGGAACAGATCTGGAGGTAAACTCTTCATCTGGTGTGGAGTAGGCAGGACAGACAGTGAGAGCAGTGTTAGCACAGAGCCTTTGCTAACACTGCTCTGACAAATTATGAAACAAAGTTAATTAAGCACATTGGGTCATGTATGGTAGGTTATAAAGGTGTAAGTAGGATATGCAATCTGATCTGAGTTCAGCCCACGTTAAGATTCCCTTGTAGATTGTTTTAAAAGGACAAAAATAATAAAAACTATCTTAGAACAGTTGATCTAGCCACAGTATCAAGGATGTATTTCCAGAGAAAGAGTTTAAAGTGGCTGGTTTCATGCCTTTTGGAGCCAGCTACTGAATAACATGATGAAAGCTATGAATCTCCCATGAAATTTGCCCATATGTACATATACATAAGCATTTTGTTTAAAGTTCCAGAGGGTTCTTGGAACTTCCCACCTTTTGAAACTCATCCTTGGCTGCCTAGTTAAAACACTTGACCCAAAGGCAAAGAGACTGTTTGAAGAGTTGTTGTAATTAATTGAAGGTAATCTAACTTTAAAACAGGCAAGGAAGTCAAGAGTAAATGATAACATCTTCTAAGTGTATTTCAGAGGAAAAATCATGATGACAGGTTGAGTGAAGAAGCCCAATAAGATTTAGTTGTTGAGGACCCTGGGAAAATGAGTAATGATGTCATCTGTAGTAGGGAGAGATCAGAAAAGATAGCATAGAATTGCTGATCTTTCATTTCTACATGGACCTATAATTTGGGATTCTTGCTGTTTCTCATTTACTTCTTGCCATCTTCCAAAGATCAAAGTAGGTCTGGCGGAGATGGCTGTTTTGTCAATTTTGTCTTACACACTTACATTTATAAAAATAAGCCAAGCACTAGCAATCAAGTATATTTGCAGGCATGTTATTAAATTGTCTTTGAAGTTTGAAATTCACAGATTCCCTTTTTTCAGGTTTTAGGGCAATCTTGGCAGAACCTAAAAATAAAGCAGCTGAATCCTCGGAACAAGATTATTATAGTAATATGAGACAGGAGACTTTGGGACATGAACCTAGAGTAAATATGTTTCCATTTGGTAAGTGGGCTACCTTTAAAGGTGTAAGTAGGATATGCAATCTGATTTGAGTTTTTAAAAAACTTATTTTATCAGTAGTCTAAATCTCAGTGAATAAAAGTCTTAAAAGTAGTGGGATTTTTTTTTTATGCAGTTGGTAATGACTCCTCATGTCCTTAGTATAACATTTGTTTATTTCATTAACAAAATACTAAACTATGCCACTACTACTTTTTGGGTGAGTTTCTCTTCTGTGCAGCTAACCAAAAAGTATAAAAGACATATGCAGATAATCTCCTCAGTATGAGCCCTTAAATTATATCCCTGAACTACTTTAAAAGTAGGGCTGGAGAAGGGAGAGGAATGACTAAAGTAGAAGCTAGATAAGGGGAAAAATGAGTAATGAATGTAAGGCCTGTACATGTTATTTGGTATAGACTTTCATGTAGGGGAAACACTTGCATTTTTTGCAGTTTTGTGTACTGAACATATTCCTGTGAAATTAGACTACATGTTTCTTGTTTATATTTCTATATTGAAAACAGGAATGTGGGGATAGTTGTCTGGTTTCTCATCCTTGATCCCTTCTGAATAGTGCTAATGACCAAGAGCATACTACAGAATGCAGTGCCTTTGTTCA